GCCATAACTGCTATGGGTGGTAAGGACATGACGTGGTTGCCGAGGTATTCTACACCTCCGAATGTTTCGTTGACGCAGCAGCCAAACTTCGTCTGTTTCAAAGAACCAGTTACACCTCAATATCCTACCCGGAGCTTGGTTCTACAACAATACTCCGAATTCCCTGTACACACCTTGTGTTTTCACTTGCATTGTGTGCAAGTTCCATACATGTTATGCAGGTCGTTACCCCGGGCCTGCGCGGTCAAAATTCTCGTATGGTGACGTTGTGCCCTTTGCCTGCGGGACTTATGCAGACATTCCCAGGAAAAACGAGACAAAATCACGCAAACTTCCAAAGAACTCAGCAAGTCACTGAAGTGGAAGGTTGACCTACTATCCGACTTGATTGGCAAAGAGAATCAGAGTGGCAGCAGGAGCAATGAAGTAGCATCGGATGGGATGGAAACGGACGAGAGTGAGCTACGATGTCATTCTGAAAGATTCTAGATACAGTGTTATGTGTGTACTGATTGTGTACGAATGAGCACATGTGGCCTTGCGCGGTTATGTTTTTGGCGATTTTTAGCGATTTGTAGTGATTGTTGTAGAGCATGATCACTCATGCGGACAAAAATTGGACATTTAAGACCATCTAGATCCGGATGCGGACATTTGAGGTACCAAAATCGCGCGGACATAAAGGCCAAAAAGTAATGACTTTGGATCTGAGCTCTAGGAGGATATGCCGGGGTCCTGACTCAGCGCCTGCAGTGTCTCCAATATCCAATGGTGTCATCTCCAACGAATGGTTTCCTATATGTACTACATTAAGACTACGGTTTTTCAGTACGGTACGTGACTGGACTACTTGGTATTGACAAGACCGCGGTCCACGACAGCCTCTGCAACTTCCGGTAGTATAGTGTGTCATACAACCTGCTAGCTCGTCGTGGTGGCCACCTCAGCATCAGAGAGATCTGTCACAAACTACATTCGTGCCATTCTTACACACAAATAAACACTCTATTCTGGTGGACTGCAGCTGCATATCTTGAGACTTACAGGATCCATGTTTCCAACTCTACACTGGCATGCACTTTTTGCTGTGTTCACTACTCATCTAGAACGGACATATTATGTCGTGCCGCTAAGTAAATGGTTTTCTCTGAGTCTGAGCACTTTACATGAACCAGAGAGGTCTTTTTGCCTACACATCAATGTTGAGGTTTACCGATGAGGGCTGAGTACGAAAAGCCTTTGGCTTTCGAAAATTCGATTTGGATTTCGGAGTCTGCGATAACTCATGGTTGCCACCGTAAAGATGACAGCTTTTGTGACAGCTGGAGTTGGGTTAGGACTGAGGGGTATCATGGAGGCAGACACTCCTCCAAGAACAATTGAAATAATTAGCTTTTACCAGACGTTCGATAATACACAGCAAGCCAAGCCTACGTAGACGCAAACCATTCAGCCTGAGCTTCATTTGATCGTTATCGAGTACTTATTATCACTGAGTCATGGTCCATCACTGGCCCTCCAGGGTACGTTTACGTTCCGCGCGATTCCACATAGTTGAAAACCGCTGTAAGCTATGAACGATGGGATACGTCCGACTTCATGGATGTATTATCATGACGTGCGGGGCTGTAGCGCTTATGTCTATAAGCGATCCACTCGCATTTGGTACAAGCAGCGCAATATTCAGATTCTCAGCGAGCGACACAACATATGCAATGATGATGATGAGCATAAGTATCATACCCGTATCATGATGGGAGAAAAGCATGGATGACACGTATGAAATACTACAGCATTATACAGACTCAAGGATCTCCGGCTCCTTGAAGTCCTTGACAACACGAGTGCCGGTCTCCTACGTGATAAAATGTGAGATGTTATCTGCCAAAGAGTGAAGGGTGAGGCTTACATCTGTCGATTCGCCATGAAGCTCAAGAAGCTTCGACATATCGAATTTGGGTGCCTTCAAAATCTTCGCCTTGTGGACGAAAACGTTTTGAAGGGGGTAGATACCGCGAGCTGCCTTCTCAATCTCGCGACCAATTGCCTCCGGAATGAACTTTTGGACCAACTCCTTCAGATCGCATGAACTCGCTTCACGCGTCATGATCTCGAACATTTTCCGGCGGATCTCCCGAATTTGAGAGGTCTGCGCGTACGTTGTTTTGCGCACTTGTGTAGGTCTGCGCTTGGTGAAGCCGATGGCGAACAGCCGGATGAGGTAACCGTCGGTAGTCTTCACGTCGACGTGCGCTTCGATGAGAGTTTGCCACTTCCTAACTAGTGACCGGAGCTTGTCACTAGAGAACGACATGCCGTGAAAGTTCGTAAGACAGTTCTTCCCCTGCACCTCGTCAATCCGGAGCTTCATCTTCCTGAATGCTTGCTCCTCGTCGTTGTTAAGGTCAGCGAGGGACACCTCGATGATGCGACCCTTCAATGAGTCATTCGCGTTTTCTAGGGTGTCATCAGCACTCAGGGTGCATTACAACATGTAGGCAACTCACTGAGACCCTGCGACCTGTTCACCAAGGTCTTGCCGACATTCCTCTTCTCAAAGATCGATGGCGCTTTGATATCATACCAATCTGCACGAGAGTCAGCAAATATGCAGAGTTATTGTTGCTATAGACGCACCTTTGCGCGTGAAGGGGTCCACAACTTTCTTCTTGATACCCTTCTTTCCCTTTGACAAACGTTTGTTCTAATAGGTCGAAGTCAGGGTAACAAGCTATGAACCCGGAGTAACGCAAGCATACCTTTCCTACGGCCATGATGAATCAAAGTCGTGTCTCGTCTAAGGGAACCGTAGGAGACACAAGCACCGGCACTTGGACGGGCTAAGTTTTGGCGTATGCAGCAACGACGCGGGCACCCGACCGAGTATGGCTGTGGGAATTGATGGTGGCTGAAACCTTACTCTGCAGCTGTATCGTTCATTCCCACGCCACTATCCACCGGGCACCCATGTCGGCAACCTTCACCCGTTCGCAATTTGAGACGGCATGCAAGGCGTACATCCGCGTCCACAATGCCTCTGGGCAAACTTCCGCGACCGCCTTTCGTCCCGATGGTTGGACTTGGTCAGACCACAATGTGCGCTTCGATCTCGCTGCCGTCGGAGCTTAGTTAATGGCTTGATAGTCGACAATAGCTCGCCCGGGCTTCATGCATCGGTCAGCATTACTTCCACTTAACCCTGTCAGATCTCTGGAGATTGGAAGTGAGGAAGACGTTTCTGGCGTCTCGAGCCCTATCGACGAGAGTGTAGTAGCCGCCAATACTCCGATACTGATCGCATCTGAGCAACATGTTGTGTACTCTCCAACATTCCAGGTGCCGACATTTTATTTTACTATGTACAACAGCAGTATGTCGCCTTTGGTTTAATATCTGTTGTTCTTGTTCCCATCGCATCTACTAGGTGGTGCGCCGTTGACTCTAGACCAAATCCTGATTTCACCCTTGTTTCATCCGCACAGCCTCGCGAATGCTGAGGCGACGTCCTTTGCGCTCACGGAGCCTGGATCATCCTTCCCGCTGCTTTCGCAGGGTGATCATCCTGTATTAGGTACCCCGTCGTGGTATCTTCATCCTTGCCATACGGCGGAAGCGGTCGTGGAGCTCATGGCAGAATCTCCACGGGGCGACGAGAGCGAGGAGCGGACGTTAGTGCGATGGATGGAGACTTGGTTCATGGTCCTGGGGCAGGTGGTCAATCTCCGTTATAGAAGCTGACGTTGATGAGCCGACTGTCTGTGTGCTTGTGCGGGCTGGATAATAGTAGTTGTCGTGGAATAGTGGATTGACCGAGAAGTAGAGTACGTCCGATAATAAGATAGCCTTTCCCGACCGTGCAATGGCGCACATTGCTTTGCTCGGTGGACGTCCGTGTCTCGTCGATGTTGTGTCTGAGAATGTCTATGCATCCTCGGTATATCCTTCTTTTGGGTCTAGCGGTTCGGGCATACCCTCGGTCGGCGCCACTGAACAGAAATCATGCGCCTGTGCAATATTGCGGTCATGGGGTCAGCGGCGCGTCGATGTCGACTATATAAATTCACGACATGGCATCCAAGTCGGCTCACACTTCGTGCGCTACTAGTGGCGTCGGACACAGGCGACGCCGTTTTTCTGCCCGAGTCGAAAGACCCGACGTACTTACAAGTCGTACGACTCAGTTCATCGATCAGTAATAGGCGATTGGCCGGCTAACCCCACTGGCGGCACTGGCATATAAAAGTCCTTAATCAAAATGTTAGCTGCTGCACGCTTGTCTGCTGTTCAACCCTCCACTGCCCAACGTCGTCTAGCAACCTTCGTTCGCCAAATGGTAGGCATCCTTTTTCAGTTCATAGCAGGTTGTGCGCTGATTTCGCTCTCAAGTCGTCTCATGAAGTTGTCATCGTCGCGGCCTCGCGAACCCCTGTTGGCTCCCTCAATGGTGCTCTTAAGTCCTTGACCGCGCCCCAATTAGGTGTCGTTGCCCTGAAGCATGCATTCGAGCAATCGAAGGTCGATCCTGCAGTCGTTGAAGAGATCTACTTCGGAAATGTCGTCCAGGCTGGTGTTGGCCAGTCGCCAGCGAGGCAAGTCGCCCTTGGTGCAGGCATGAAGACGAGCTCGGATGCGACAACGGTGAACAAGGTGTGCGCCAGTGGTATGAAAGCGATCATGATCGCTGCACAGAGTGTCTCGAGCGGGTATAAGAGTGTTGTTGCTGCAGGTGGAATGGAGAGCATGAGTAACGCTCCGTTGGTCTTCTCTTTTTCGAAGAGAGACCATGGTCTGATTTAAATATTTATCTGTTCAGTTTCCTCCTACCTCGGCAACTTCCTGCATTTGGTCCTTTCGAGTCGAAAGATTCCGTCCAGCACGATGGCCTGTGGGATCCGTACAACAACTTTGCTATGGGCAACTGTGGCGAGGTCGCGGCTGAGAAGCATCAGATCTCGCGGGAGGCCCAGGATGCGCACGCAGTCGAGTCGTTCAAGCGCGCAGAGCGAGCATGGGCGTCAGGCGCGTTCAATGCTGAGGTCGCTCCCGTCACGATCAAGGGAAAGAAGGGTGACACGGTCGTGAAGGAGGACGAGCAATACAAGCGGGTTGTTTACGAGAAAATCCCGACGCTCAACCCAGCTTTCAAGAAGGGCGGAACAATCACACCTGCGAACTCGTCGCCCCTTAACGATGGTGCCTCAGCGTTGATCTTAATGTCTGCTGCCAAAGCTCAGGAGCTCGGTGTCAAGCCTCTCGCGAAGATTATCTGTGAGTCCAGGTTTAGCAGTATACGTGGCTTATTGATGTATCTTTGTTGTCATCAGCTTATGCTGACGCCGGTGTTGAGCCCATCGATTTCCCTATTGCGCCGACTGTGGCACTTCCTCTTGCACTCGAGAAGGCTAACCTGAAGGTTGAGGATATCTCTCTCTTCGAGATTAATGAAGCGTTCTCCGTCGTGGTCCGCATTGCCGAGAAAGTGTTGGGTGTTGACCCTGCAAAGATTAATGTGAACGGGTATGTGTATTCTTACGCATATAACAATAGTATGCTCATGGTACTTTCAGCGGTGCCGTTGCACTTGGCCATGCTATCGGTAACTCGGGCGCGCGTATTATCGTCACACTAGTACATGCTTTGAAGTCAGGCCAATACGGCGCCGCAGGTGTATGCAATGGAGTGAGTGATCATACGCTGATCGCTCTCCGTCTGGGAACGCTCACAGAAGGTTTTATAGGGTGGTGCCGCGTCTGCGATTGTGATTCAAAAGTTGTAATAGGGCGACCTGGGCTATGTATTTATTCCGTCATTGCTATCGTACAATTGCATTTTAACTCGGGATTGACTGCGCCAAATTGACATCATTACGCTGTGCTTATATCCGATAACAGCGTAGTCATCGTGGCTAGCGCTCGCATTGGTTTAGTGAGTTCTTGGTTGGTTTGCTATATGATTGCCACTGAGATAGGGTCTATTAAGACTCGTGAACCCGATGCGATGAAAGAATTCCAATGGGCTGTATTCGTCTACATCGATAGTCTATTTTAGAGTAATGATCAGTAGTGAGTCCTTGAGGTGTTCTGACCTTGGTTCTGACTCGTCTGCTTAGTCCGATAGCATATATAAAGCCCGATCGATCAATACCCACCATTAAGCGAGCGCTATCAGCAGCCAGCTCCTCCAAAGACTCCGCACTGCAGTCGGAAGGCTAAGTTAAGTATCTGCGGTATGCAAAACCATATGTAGAGCCCACTTATCAGCGCCGGCTCCCGCGGCTCCGCCGTTATCGTCGCTGGTGCTGTTCTGCCTGATGGAATTTCCAGGGGACTCCGATGTGTTGCTGTCAATCCCCCAAACCCTGTAAGGTCGCGTGCACACACGGCGCTCTTGCTATCTCAGAGTCCCGCAATCCAATATGTAGCTCAAGCGCGCTATATAAGATGGAGCTGGGAAGCGTCGCTACTTCGGCCTTCTGCTTTCCTAGAAGCAGTCCACGCCCATCAGTGCACAACAATGGCTTCTCTCATTCGGCGCGAATCTGTCGATGAAAAGTCCGCCTCCCCGGTTCAGGAGAAGCAGGCTTTTGAGGCTAGTGTCCAGCCAGTTTTCGAATCTGCTTATGATAAGAGTCAAATTGACGGTGATGGAGCCCTTGAGCTCGTGGGGTTTGAGAGGACCCAGGAGTTCAGCGATGAGTACAATCGCAAGCTGCTGAGAAAATTGGTGTGTAGTTCACTCTGATATCCTCTCTCGGACATGACCTGTTTTAATCTATCATATGCTAGGATTTCATTATCCCTCCGATTTGTGCGGCGGTGTATTTCACACAGTTCCTGTAGGTATCTCGCCGTTCATGTGGACGTTGAGCATCTCAGATTTTGCTTTTATAGGGATAAGACCTCTCTTAATTATGCAAGGTAAACTGTTAATAGAGAATGTAGTCGTAGAGATGCCTGACATGTTTTGTCAAGTATCATGGGTCTGCCTATCAAGGGACAGGTAAGAATTTTGGTGGAGCACTCTTGAAAGTTTACTTATGTGATCTACAACAGGACTATAACCTAATATCTCTCGCGTTTTATGCCGGTATATTACAAAATTTTTATCTGGTTTCTCTGTATAATTGGGATTCTGCAGGATTCTTGGTTTGGGAATTCCCTAGTGTCTATATTTCCCAGAAGTTTCCGGTAGCAAAATTCTTAGGAATCAATGTTTTGCTCTGGGGTGCTGTTGTCATGCTTCACGCGGTCGCAAAAACATTCAGCCAATTCTTTGCTCTGCGTTTCTTGCTTGGTACGTAATCACGACATCCTACGAGTCAGCGTTCCCAAAACTATACTGATAGGAATGTGCGAGTCTTGTGTCTCCCCCATCTTGGTCCTCATCATCTCAATGTTCTACAAGAAAGAGGAGCAGGTATTTTCAAACCCATTCGTGTCGGAGACCGCGTGCTCATTTTCGACAGGGTAAACGAGTTGCGGCATTCTACGTGATGGCATGTCTGATCACCAGTCAAATTCCCGATCGTTTCTCTGATCTGCTCTTCAGAACGGACTCACGCAGATCTTCGGTGGCTGTGTCGCGTACGGCGTGGCGCACACACACGACCCGAACCTCGTCTCATACAAAATCATATATATCCTGCTTGGGGGTCTTGCCATTATCGTGGGGGTCGTCGTGCTTCTCTTCCTCCCCGATTCGCCCGTTCACGCACGGCTACTTACCAAGGAGGAGCGAATAGCCGCATTGGAGCGCGTGCGTGACGGTCAAGTGGGTACGGAGAACAAGCATTGGAAGAAGGACCAGATTTTCGAGGCGCTGATGGATGTCCGTACATGGCTCATCATCTTGACGGTCATGTTGAGTGCGTTATACCTCCTGTCATCCCGACTTCAGCTCACATCGCACCAGCGAGTATTCCTTCCGGTGGTCTTACCAATTGTGCGTTTGAGGTTCACTTACACGTGTGAACACCCCTCTAAATCTTTCGCGATGTAGTCAGTAACCAAATCATTGAGAGCTTCGGCTACAGGTGTGTTCCTCAAACTCCGCTGTGAGCCCGCGAGCCCTTTTGACGAGCCGTTCGTAGCACAGAGCAGACCCTGATTTTGAGTACACCCGGAGGGGCAATCTTCGCGTGTATGATTGTATTTTGTGGATGGTACTCAGACCGAAAGGTGAGCTCTGCGGACTACGCCTTTGTATTACGGCCCCACCTCACTATCCCGTATAGAATGACCGCATGGTACCAATCGTCATCTGTCTAATCCCCACAATTGTTGGAGCGGCCATGCTCATTGGTCTCAACGGCAGAGCGGATGAGAAAGGTGCTCTCTTGTTTGGTAAGGAATACCCTTCTTTGAGATTCCCCAAACTATCGGCTCACATAATCCAGGAATTTATCTCACCTCTACTTTCGGAAGCGCACTTTCGTCTGTGTATGCGTACAATGCCAGTAATACGAGTGGTCACACAAAAAAGGTATACCCTGATTTATCCGATTTGGGCTGTCGATCGACTGACACGTATCAACTAGAACACCATTAATTCTCTTACAATGGTTGCATTCGGCGTGGGCAATATCCTCGGTACAGAGATCTTCCAACCGGCAGATGCACCTGCGTATATTCCCGGGAAGATCGCAATCATGGTCCTACTTACAACGCAGCTCTTTCTCTCGTTCCTGATACGATGGATAAATCAGAGGCTAAATTCTAAACGCCTAGTCGCCCTTGCAGAAGCAAAGGCTAGGAACGGATGGACAGACGAAGACGTGCAAAAGGAGCGGGAGCGTCACGCGTTCTTGGATCTAACTGACAAGCAGTACGTTTGATGGTACCATTTTGGCGTACAAACACTGACTGACTGGACCACCAGGAACCTGTTCTTTGTTTACACTACGTAATGTATTTTGTATGACTATCCTGTAATCACAACCACTTCGACAGACTTGAATGAACTGACTGCTTGAACGAGTCACCTCTGAAGCTCGCCCATTTGAGTGTTGCGAGTTTTATATAGCAATTCTTGCGATAATGAGTGGGTCCGTTACAACCTGAAGATGATCAGACAATAGCAACAACGTACTTGAACTGGACTTTCAGATTCTGGTCTCTAGTGAATGCTGGCAACCACCAGGCCGGCGACGGTCTCGTGACGGCGCGCATTCGCGACACATTCAGCTGAACGCGTCTGCCAGTGCCGCAGTTGCAGCAATCAACTTGTCCGCGTCTGTACTCGACGACGTGGCGCCGCTATTGTAGCCAGTATAGAAGACTAGGCCTGGGGACTTTGCTCAGCTTCAGTTTGAATTATCTGAATGTCTGATACTGCCAGACAGTCACCTTCAGCCGGCAGGGCTCTGTCCGTCGCAGGCTCCCCAGGCCGACCCTCGCCGCTATCGCGACCACATTGGCCGTGGTCCACTTACACGCACAGGTCATCCTCTTCGGCTTCAGTATATTCTTCGAGTAGTTCAACTGCTGGTACGCACGGATGGGACTCGAGGTCGCTATCGAGTCCCGCAACCGTGACAATGTCTTCTGCAGCGATTGGCAAGCGCAGCGCAGGCGCTGGGAGTGCTCTATACCACGCGAATATACAGGAAGACTCCAACACAAGACAATGGTCCTTCACTGTAAGATATTCACTGTAAATATGCGTGTTGCGCTTATATCTTCCGCAGGCGTTTGAATGGATTGTGCGAGACGTGCATAAACTCAGAGATTTCGTAGAGGGACCGGATACTGTAGGGACCACAGGAGATTTTGCCCAAGAGTCTATCCCAGACACCGATGAATTCGAAATATTGAAAGAATCGCCTGTGATTGGGGACGCGAAGTTCAAACTGGAGATTGGTGCGTGGTTGGTGTATGCTTCTCTTCTTAGACTTATATCACACCTTCTAGCAAAGACACCAAGCCCTGAGATCGCTGAAGGCTCCGATACTCCAGTCTTGAGGATTGGTCCTCAGACGTTGTCTCTCTACGTCACTTCGCTCATGGTCGATTATCCTCATGCTGATTACGAAATGTCCACATCTATGTTCGCTGCTATAAAATGCCAGGATGACAGAGTAGGCGAACGCGGAGCGCGAGCCGAATGGGCCTGGGAATTTTGGCAAATCGGATGGGTATTTCGGCAAGAAAGCGAAGTGTGGGGTAAGCACTTTTGTAGCTCATCCACATCCCAAAGTTGACGTAATCTTTGACATAAATAGAATGTTTGTTGCCACCATTGTCAACACTTCTCGAGAACCCTCGGATAAAGGAGACTGATTCCTTTGTTATATGTGTTCAAATGCATTCTCCAGTAGGTCCATTCTTTCCCCAGCAGCCATCAGCGTACTACGTTCCCCGAGATTTGCTCGACGGTCTTGAGGCTTCTTTGGACAATCCTAGTAAGTGCAAATTATATTGAGACTTTCATCGTTGAGCTCAATACTACACAGATACCGGCGATGTCCAGTTCGTTTGTCTAGAGCGGAAGGACGTTAGCTCGGAGTCATCTCAACTGTCCTCATCTACATCCACTTCCGATGAGACCACGAAGCAAGTGTCTACTGGATCGCATACGGTCGCCCGTAAACGCATCATCTATGGGCACGCAGATATACTCACACGTCGTTCGGAATATTTCGCGACAATGCTCCGGTCGTCATTCTCTGAGACCGCCGCAAGCACTCTTTACCCTGGCGAGCGGAAAATATTCACAATTATCGTAGAAGAAGCCGACTTCGTGACCATCTATTGGATGCTTAAATTCGTTTACGCGAATTGGCTTCTGTTCCGTCAAGACGATGACCCTAGGGAGGCAGTAGATGGAATCGGAGCAGGATGGAGCGCTAAAGGAGTTAGCCCACCTGGAACAGCAGACGAATGGGACTGGAAGAAATTTCCCAAAGGCGTGACAACCGAGTCTCAGAACTCAAGTAACGTGAGCGACGCTCATAGCGCTACTAGTGGTGGAAGTCTACCGTCAGGAAGAGGTAGCGGCAGCTCACGGGAAAGAAATATTCAGAATCCAACAAGCACGACGACCTTACAGCCCGTAAATGCGCGATCTGTTTCCTCTTCCAAGAGCAATTCTGCGTCGTCGCGACCGTCTGCCACCCAGCCTCGCCGAACATCGTCAGCCGGTGGCGCGTCATCGTTATCTCCACCGTCTCCCGCTCGTGCAACGAAGCCCGTACCAGTCCCTATTTCGCCAACGGGCACATTTGCTACTCCTTCCCACTACCCGTTATCTCCCCGCCAGCAACGCCAGCGCTCCCACCCTTCCGCCACATCTGCTGGTGATCCACACGCACACCCTACATCCCCACCGCAGCCTGCATCTGCGTTGTCAATGTACCAAATCGCACATCGCTATGCCATGCCAGGCCTCGCCGCGCTGGCACTGGAACATATCATGTCGACGATCACCCCTCAGTCATGTTTCGCTGTGCTGCTCGCAACAGCTGCCTGGGACGAGTTGCACTCGCTGGTAGAGGTGTGTTTTGTCTCTGTTTGCGAGCTCCGTGACTGAACAATGAAACTGTCCAGGATTACGTCGTGGAAAAATGGGACGATGTGTCCGGTTCGGGGGAATTTGAGCGGTGTTGCCAAGAGGTCGCAGGTGGAGAGTAAGTCTTTTGCTTGCAAGTTGTACGCCTCCGAATATTGCTGACACGTAGCCTTAGATGGGGTCCGGAAGGTGGGAAGACACTCATGGCCTTGTTTAGACGGCTGCGTTCACCTAGCATCGCGTGAGGCTACCATTGGCTTCTCGGAATTTGTTCTCTACACGATACCAAATTTGCCCGTATCTGTATTTCAGACGTCCTATTTTTGGTGGCCTCTCTTACCCTTGCCTTGTATAGTGCATGAATACCTTAGCAGTACCTGGTCATCGTCTCGACTATCTATCTAATTTTATTCATCAATTTGGGCTCCAATGGGGACTGTCTATCAAAGGTGGAAAGTGGTTTTCCGGAATACCTGCGCTTTGAACGGTGAGACAAGTGTAGGAGGTTATTGTGAGTGTGCAGCAGCAGCTCATGACAATGCACGCGCGACGTCTTGCGAATGATTGGATTTGCATGTCTGACATACTAACGGTGTGGTCGGGATGAATGCCTCGGGCCCCGGGGAGGGCCTAACAACTTCTGGTATATTGAGCAGAGGAATTTGAGAGGTACGTGCTTGGCAGGTACATCTTGCATTGAATGGTAGTGTCACTCACGGCATTATTGTGAGATATAGCATAGTAAATCCCTTGTCATCATTGCACATGCGCGGTTCCGTCGCTGTGAGATCGTGGATTTTCATGACGTCTTATTCTGTGTGCTCTTTTATTTAATCTCGTCTTCGCTACTAATGATTAGTGACGCCGATATGATTGCTCCCAGATCCTGACTCGCATGGCCGCGAGTTAATAATCCCAGCGCTCCATGTGCCAAGAGTACACGTTGACTCTCATATACCCAACGCCCATCCGGCTATTGATCGTTCCGGGCAATGATAGGGACGGCCAGACTTCAGCTAGCTCAAAACCTCGAGTACTCAGCGCCTCAGAAAATGCCGTCGCACCGGTTAGTGATCGGCCAATGGTAACATTCGTACTGTTTGGGTATTGAGTTTGTTTAGTGCTTACGATCCGTCGCTGGGTATCATTGAAAACGACGGACATCGGGCGCAGGACACTGACACTCTCCCTTGGGATGGCAGTCGCCTGGTACTTCTCGATTGTCATGGTATAACGCAGCTGCTAGACCGAAAGTCTCGGCTATGGTGGCCAATCAGCAGACGATCTTTTAGGACGTAACCGGATTTGGCATGGCTGCTCTTCCCCGCACGCCAAGGCGGAGGCATCTTATACTCAGCGCTCGCCTGCTTCCGCCCTATCAAGAACTTGACTCATCGGACTTTTTTCGCGGCGCCGAACAATCGCTCGCGCTCCTTCTGCTCCTTTCCTTAGCCGTTGACCCCGCTACCGTCGCGCGCCGCTTGTACTATGCTCCTCAGCCTCAATAGGTTCTGACCTGTGACTGAACCCCCGGTCAATATGTGAGAACCATGACCGGATACTGATTTATCACTAATCGTCTAGTCTGCGTGTTGCGTAGACATGTCATTTTAAGCGCGCGCACGAACCTCTATCAGGCTGCAGTATTCCCCATCTGACATGCTGAAATGACTTATAAGCACCCAAGCGCAATGCAAGTAGCCCGTTCGCCCCCCTTCGCGTTCTGCATATCTTCTGGCTGCGAGATTGCCCCATTTCGCGATGTACAAGGGCATAGACCAGCGTAGGTCGTCTCCACCACCCGTCTTGCATCAACATCTAACTCTAGGGGACGATGAGTAGCCAAGACAGCAAGTGTCTCTGTTACGAACTATACAGAGAAGCACGACGATGCGTCCGAGTCCGAGGGCGATGTTGGCCTGCAAAGCCGATTTCCAGAAATTGACGAGGCGAAGATCGTACGCAAAATAGACGTGCATGTCATCCCAGTCTTGTGCCTCGTATACCTGTTGGCTTTCCTCGATCGGTGAGCGTTCGTTTGCTCTCACCCGTGTAATTCGGATACTTAAATGTATCATTTGAATTTTATGCAGAGTCAACATCTCGAACGCAGCGTTGTTTGACCTCAAGACGGATTTAAACCTGGTGGGCCATGAGTACAACACTGCTTTGGTCGTGTTGTGAGTATTAGTTTGTATCTCATACCTTGCCAACCTCAAGTCTTCAGCTTTGTTCCATACGTGCTCTTCGAGATACCCTCAAATGTTCTGCTCAAGCGCTTCAAGCCGCATGTCTGGCGTATGTTCCTGCAGTCAATCTAGCTTCTTGCTTGATCATGTCATTTTAATTTCATCTAGTTTCAGTGTGTATGTTCTTCTTCGGCATCTTTTCAATTTGCCAAGGTCTGGTCCGCAACTACAGTGGCCTAATCGCATGTCGGTTCTTTCTGGGTGAGATATCTGTAGAAACATAGTCTCAGGAGTTACTCATATTTCTCATAGGTCTGGCGGAGGCCGGCGTCTTCCCTGGATGCTTCTATCTCATAGCCATGTCTGTTCTGCGATCGCATGCACTCTTCTCGGGTTAGCTGAAATGCGTACCTAGGTGGTACAAGCGAGCGGAAGCGCAGAAACGATATTCCTTCTTTTTCTCTTCTACAACACTTGCAGGCGGATTCGGTGGCCTTCTCGCTACGGCGATTGGAAAAATGGACGGTATGAGGGGATACCATGGCTGGCGTTGGATCTTCATATTAGGTTGATTTTTAGCTATCTACTTGCAGGCCCAACTGCTGACTATAGTGGATTATATACCCCTACAGAAGGAACTGCGACTTGCGTGATTTCTGTATTTTTGTATTTTGCGATCGCAGATTTCCCAGAAGAGGTGGCTTGGTTATCCTCCGACGAGAAGAATTTCATAAGCGTTCGTCTCCAAGCAGACGTTGGACAGTCCGGAAGGCGTGAACCGTTAACGTGGAGAGGTATTGTTGCCGTCTTCAAAGATTGTACGTATACTCAGAGCTATCCGAACTATCTCTCGCTGATTCCAAGATTGCGCCTTCCAAGATAAGATCATTGTAGCCGGAATGATGTACTTTGGACTTGTGGTACCCGCCTATGGCTATGGTAG